AAGTGCCTATGTAGGCTGGGAATGATGGGAACTGTAGTACACCACTTGTGCTGGTGCGCCTCAAATTCTAACAAATTTTTATGTCCAGAAAAGCCAAATTCTTCAGATCTGCATAAATCATACAACCAAGGATATTGTATAACTGAGTTGGAATAATTTGTTCAGCCTTTTCTTTTTCAGTTCTTTTACCAAATTTTCATAATTGAGTTCACTTTAGTTCATTCTGATAACCAACACTTCGTATAAATGGAGAGAAAGTGGGGGGACTATTTGTCCAACTGGGTGCATCGACTGTTACGGAAACTCAGATCAGCTCCAGGCAAGCTGAAATGAACATTAGAAAATACGTTAAACCCACAAAGGGATTGCCATCTTGCCTCTCAGATGCTGAACGTCCAGTCTGAACTTGGAGTCCTTTGGACACACTGGCATCTCTTGCGGTGTGAACTGCAGGCTTTGCATGGCCCTGAGACAAGGCAACCCCCAGAGACAGCCCACCTTCCTCCTGCCATCGCCACCGACTGCTCTTCCTCCTCATCCTCGTCCTCATCCGAGCTGCTGCTCCCTTGCTAGCGAGGCAAAGAGGCAGGGGGCCAGCTGGCTTTTCCTTACCACCCACCACCACCATTGCCTGGGCCAGAGCGAGGAGGAGATGGACACAGAGGTTACGGCAGGGAACAAGAGAAGCAATTCTAGGAGGCTCCAAATAATGGGCCCCTACTGGTTGTGAGTCCTTGGCAGGTGCCCAGCTCTGTCTACCCATGGTGCCAGTCTAGAGACCTTGATTCTTTCAGCAGACTCTAGTCAAACATGTCCAGATACTAAACGCTGCAGCCCGTCAGCTGTCAGATGCTATCAAATACTTAACACCACTGCAAACAAGTCCTCAGCCTGTCAAATATCATTGCATGTCAACCGTCAGAGACTCTCAGATAGATATAGGACAGGATGTCAAATGCAGACATCCAATATTCTGTGCAAATTCAACAAGGATCTGAAGCATGCCAAAAGATGGCCAGAGCCTGCACTGGCCCACAGCCACCTGGGACTGCAAGAGTGAGTGCAAGGACCTTGCAGTGTAGGTTGGATTAAACAAAAAGGCCCTCTCTTCCCATGAGCAGGCACAATTTTTCTTATTGACATTTATGTTTATGGGAGAGGTAATTGAGAGGAGTTATGGAGGAGATGTGTGCAACAGCCATGCCAGAACATTCTGCTGCCCACGTGCCCAGGATTCTGAAAGCCAGGACAAGCTCTGGCTGCAGGAAGCGCCTTGCAGGGCAGCTCCCTGGGCCTGTGGGAAAAGGCGGGCGGGATCTGCGCTGGTGCAGAAAAATAATTGCTGCCGCTATTACCGAGAAATTGGAAATAAGAGACAGGCAGCCTCTCAGAGACAAGGGATGGCAACTGAAAGGCGGCGTGGGAATATCTCCAGAAATACGGCAGGTTCCCGGTCCCCACTCTCCTCCCACACCTAGGAACAAGCAAGGAGCAGAGATGAATCAGAGTTCATCTTAAAGCAGAGGTGGGAAACCTCGACTCCAGGGGCCGACTCCAGCCCTCTGGGGTTCTCCAGATGGCCACACCCCTTCCTCTTACTGTACATTTAAAGGGTTGATGCATGGAAAATAAGAAGGGCAAGAATGTGATGGTGTTGTATACATTGTAGTTTCTCAAATGATTGGATTGCTTCCTACTACAAACCTGAAAGTGACTTAGACACCAGAGCAGAAATCCCTAATGAATGGAGAAAAGCAAAACTAATATGAACACTAACTGGGATAGTGGCACATATATGGAACACCACAAATGTCCACTTAATCTGATGTGATACTAAAGATGTCCATCCACAATATAGACGTCCTCACACCACACATCCGAGGTGGGGAGCTTCGGGTCCGAGGGTCAAATCTGGACTGGACCAATTTGTGTTAATATTTAACAGATCTAACGCGAATCACCTGCATTGCTTAAGTTGATTAAATTTGGTTTCTTAACTTTTTGTATTGAAATGCTTTTATTGTTCCTGTATGTTATACAGTATTTTAGGAGCTGCTGCAAAACCTCCTGGAGAGCTTCAGCTATTGGGCCGTATAGACATAAAATAGATAGATAAATTATATGTGAAATTGTTCATTTCTCCACTTTGGAGCCTTGGAGCAAAGCAAAGCAAAAGACAGTCTATAAACCAGAAGGGTTTCTGGGATCTTTTCTCTGTTTTTGATTTAAGGTTGGCCTCTGGGAGGCTTTGCAGTGGGCAGCTCTCCACGGTCCTGTGGACAAGACCTCAGCAATGCGCCCCCCTCCTGCTTGCCTGACCAGGAGGGGACTGGTGACCAAAGAGGCCAGAGCATCTCCAGCTCCTTCTCCCCACAACTACCATTGTTGAGACAGAGGGAGAGACGAGGTCTGGGGGCTCTTGGTGGGCCCCCAGAAAGTGCTGGTCTGTGCTGACCTAGGTGGGCAGCCTCCCCAGCCTAGTGGTCTAGAATACCAACCCGCAGCCTTCCGGAACATTAGTCATGCTGGTGGGAAGTCCACAGCTTCTGGAGGACACCCGGCAGGGGAAGGCTGGCCGACAGAACAGGACAGAGCGTAAATCAAACCCTAACTAACGTGCCGTCAGCTTGCCTGGAGGGCTTGGTATAATTAAACTGCAGTCTAACGGCAAGGGGCAGAATTGCCTCCTGACATGGAGGTAGCTCTCTGTGCCAATTTCCTGGACTGAAATTGAAAGCAACAAGTTTTACTGCCCATAAATTTTAATGGAGGTTTATGAGATGCTGTGAAGGACAATAGGGGTTGGCCATAAGTTGCCTGCCCAGCTCATCAGCCTCCAGAGACATCTGGCTGACGGCTGCTGTTAGAAACCACGACTGGGTCTCTCTCCGGCCCAGCCAGGCAGGGGTGTTCAGGGCACCTTCAGCGAAAGATCATGCCCATTGAAGGTTGTGTTCTAATACTGTGTTGGAACACGTGGGGTCTACAGACGCCTCGGGGCCCTCAGTGCCTGCTCCAAGTTCCACTTCTAAAGACTTGCCTTTGCTCTCAGCAATTGTGCCTGGGTGAATCTGAGATCTCCCAGGTACTAGGAGTTGTCTTGGGGTTACGCAATAGTATTTGCAAACCACCATTCATTTTTGAGCAACTCCACAAAGAATCATTTACCTGGAAATATTCTCACTAATCAGTAGTGTTAGTTAAGTGATCGATTGTTTGTGGTTTATACACAACAGGAGATCATCAGAACCTTGGGACCTTATGTAAAATATGCAGATTAACGCCTTCTGAGTGCAAAATATGGGCTGTGGTGCAGCCGCCCCTCCCTCGGTGAGTCTAGCTTCTGGCCACCATTGCCCCCAGCCGTTCCTGTCCTCCGCCTCCTTCTCACCATTGCTAGCTCCTGCTTGCTTGGCAGGCATGCAGCCCGAGAGCCAGTAGCCACGGCGGCTCCAGCTCTTCCCTCTCACCATCGCTGGCCCAGGCCAAGGAGTGGATGAACATGCTGGCCGAGAGGGGGGGAGCAGGTCTTCTTGTCAGTGGGCCCCTGGTGGGCTGTGGGCCCTGGGAAGATGCTCAGCCATGCCCACCTTTGATGTCAACCTTGAGAGTCAGGTACGCCCATGTTCTATCAGGTGCATCCTTGTGGATGCCACCAGCCAGCCACCCCTTCCAAACAGGGGCATTCCCCCACCCCATTTTCTGTTGGGACACTCAGTGTGCCATGGTCCTCTTTAAGGTTGTCTCAGGTTTGCTTTTGCTTTGCTTGTTGGTTCTTCCCCAAATGCAGAATCCCCCCAACACGTTGAGACCTCCTCCTTTTTTGAGTAGCCCCTTCTGGTCCCCTTTCTGCTTGGGCTTACGGCCCCAGTTCACTATTAGAGGGGGTGCTGTGTTCAGAGGCACTAAGATGCCATGGTGAAGAGTGGGGCCTGAGATGCAGGAGATCCGGGCGCCAGTCCCCGCTCAGCCACTGGTGGCCTTGGGCCTGTCACAGGGTTTCAGCCTGAGCTACTTCACAGGGTTGTAGTCATGAGAATAAAATGGAGAGGAGACCCTTGAAGGCCACCAGGGGTTCCTTGCAAGAGGAATATGAAGCTGGCATAACTCTTGACCCCATGATGCCATGCTGGGAGAGGACGGCTAGCCAACTTGAGGGTCGGCATATGGAGGAAAGTGCGTCCTTGCTTCCAAGAGAGGCCTCCTGAAGGGATTGGGTCCAAACATACTCAAAAGGAGGGTTTCCAGAAGTAGTCGCTAGACTGGGTTCAACGAACTGCTCTGTGCATGCTCAGAGATTCTTCCTGAAGCGATTGTGTGTATTGGATGTACTTTCGCGAATAGAGAGCAATGGCGAGGGAATGGTCTGTCACCTGGAATGTGCAAAGGCAGGAAAGCCCAGCTCATGACACAGGCAGACGTCCACGGGGCAGGGCAGCAGGGGAAGACCTCCGTGGGAGGCCTTCTGGAGGCGGCGTCTGGGGGCTCATCATGGGAAGGTCACCTGCACACTGGCCACCTGGGAGCCCGGTTCTTCTGCCCGTGAGGATTCAGAGCAGAGCAACCAGTCTCCGCGGGAACAACGTACTGGTAAACAAGAACACGTCCTGTTTCTACTGGGACGTTTTCTGTGTGCCTCACCCAGGGAAGACTGGCTCTTTTGTTGTGATGCTTGTGGGCCGATTGTGGTCGTTAAACTCTCTGTCATCTCGGAACTGTCTTTATTGGGACTGTGAAGGCTTATGGCTAATTACGGGAACTACTTCCATAAAAAGTTTAACTGACGTGCGTGCCTTGGCTCCAGGAAGGCAGGTCCTGATAGAGTGATTTGCTCCTCCTCACTGGCTCTTTCGCCTTGCCCCTCTTGCTCATTCACTCAGAGGGGGTGGGCGCACGGGCGGAAGTGGCAAGACGGAGGACCAGATGCCCCCGAGATACTTGGCAGGCCCCTGCTGGGCCCCGGTTCCTGACTAAAGAGCGCCTCTTCTCTCCCCCGGCAGAAATCCGTGAAGCATTCAAAGTCTTCGACCGCGATGGCAACGGCTTCATCTCCAAGCAGGAGCTCGGCACGGCGATGCGGTCCCTCGGCTACATGCCCAACGAGGTGGAGCTAGAAGTCATCATCCAGAGACTGGACATGGATGGTAAAGCGCCGGGCATCCTTTTCCTTCCCGTTTCAGGTCCCTTTCTCATCCCTGATGGCCATTTATCCCAACATGCGGCTGGACCTGGGGTGGGCCATGGGGTGGAGAAATCAGCAGTGCCGAGCACCTGGGGGTGGGGGTGGCTAGCCTATGGCCCTGAAGGAGAAGCAGCTGCACCCTTCTTGGAAAAGGAGCAAGAGGAGAATCAAAGAGGCGATCAAGAAATGGATGCAAAGAGGGACAGCTCCCCATGCGCAAGCTGTGCTAAGGCTGTGGGGGCAGGAAGGATCTTTGCTTCACCTGAACAATGAGCCAGTTTCTTACAGACTGAGCTAGTGGGAGGCATCACTGGCCACATGCATCCCTCTTGGGTTCCCCAGGTGACACGTCTCCCTCTCACCCCCCCCCAAATATTCTTCGACAATCTTCTCGGTTTGCTAGCTTCCCCGCCCCGGTTCTAAAAGGTGGAAATACCTTTCCTGAGGCGAAGGCCACAGCAAGGGAAGCGTCAGGGAGCCATGCTAGAGAAAGCTTGGATCCCCGGTGCTAAGGATGGAGACTTGGAGCGCTCCAGACCTGGAGCTGGGAACGGGAGCTCCGATCCGCTGCCTCTTGCAGGTGGCATGCAAAGACTGGTGCTGGCCACTTGGAGGCTGGCAAAGCAACCCCAGAGAGCGAGAGAAGGGGGCATTTCATTGGGTGGGAGGCGAGGGGAAAGAAGAGGCCAGAACAGGAGCTGTCCCAAGGCCATTCGAGCCTCCTTCCCCACCCCAGCTATGTAAGCGAAAACACCTGGGCAGCAAAACTGCAGGATGCAAAGACAGCATTTGCACAGGAGAAGCATAAACCGCTGAGTCTGGGGGCGGGTGCTCCTTGCTGTCGGACTGAGCCCTTAGAGCAACATGCCAGGTGGTGACGTTGACTCTGCCCTCACCGACGACCGAAAAGCAGCTTCTTGAGAGCTGAAAGAGGTCCTCCACCCTGGCCCGCTTCAGCAGACCCATCCTAGGAACACTGGCTCCTTCCAAAACCCATAACCTTATACTCACCGCCTATTCGTGTCTCCACTCACAACTCTTTTCCCTACAAGTTTCTTCTACCTACTCTCACCTGTCCCTTTCTCTTCTCATTCTCATCTTGACTTCCTTCTTTCCCGTTCTTTGCTTGGCGTCTTTCAGTAGCAAGCGCTCTCTCACGTGGGAAGCTCATGAATTGTGCTAGGCTGGGGTAAACACCAGTTCACGTCTGGGGAACCAACGTCAAAAAACCTCGCCCCTGGCTGTGAAGCAGGCCCACTTGCGACTGTCCCAGGCTGGGCAGGAGTTCTGCGCATCATTGCAGCCTGGCTCAGTTTTGCGGCTCGTCTGTACAGCTGTGTGCGCTGCACATGCCCCAAGGGTGATGAGAATCCAGTTCTTTTTGAGCACGAACGACTACAGCGTGCCAGCTGATCAGGAGGATGGCAAAAAGGATTGATTTCCCCTTTCCTTTGTCACACGGGTAGGAGCAAGTCAAGGCTATGCACTTTTCTATACCACATCCTGCTTTTGTGCTCGCAATTGCTCACTTGTGGGAGTTTGTGGGAACTTTCCGCAACTCGGCTGCCCTCCAGGGCCTGTCTCACATGTTTCCCAGCCATTTTTGTGTCTTTCCTTTTCGGAGCAAGGAAAATCAGCTGTTAAATGGCAAATGTGCAACAAACCAAAATGAATGTCATTATTGTCTTAATTCCACCGTATTGGAGCTACACCGCAATACCGCCTTGTGGGTAGAAAATGGAACATATAGAAAGACACAGAAAGACTGCTGCCAAAAGCCCCCAAAGCCCACGCCAAGGGTTTTCTTCACATGTAAAGGGAAAAGGGAAGAAGCCTCCGTGAAGTGGTTGGTTCAGCACCTCCTGCGGAGAAATCCTGTGTGATCTTCATGCCCTGAAATAGCACTGAAAGGGAAGTCTTCCTCTTGGGCTCCTGACAAGGGTTTGGAGCTTAAAGCAACTGGGGGCAAAGAGAGCTGGTCCTGGCCCTCTGGGGGGAGGGGGTGGCCCCGTTGGCTGCAGCATCTCAGAGTGCAGGTGTGGACATGACGGATCGCTCTTCTGTGTCAAGGAAATAAAATACAGGGGATCCTGCATGCAGAAAAACAGCATCTCAAGGAGAAGGCTAGGCTGGAGCCAGTCTGTTGGCATGCTAGGTTTCTAGCCACGTGGAGCTCGTGCTGCACGGAGGGGGGCACATGAATGGGTCTGATGCTAAGCGAGAGGCTTAGAACTTTCCGGTTTGCCACTTGCTTGCTTTCCTGAGAATTCCCTCCGGGTGGAAAAGACAACACAGAATCTTGCGTCTCCTTTTCTCATTCTGCCTCTTTGCTCCTGGCCAGGCTGGTTGCCTCCTTGCTCCTCCGCAGCCAGACCCCCAGCCGAAGTGCCTTTACCGCAACCATTGCCAGAGCTATTGCCGTTTGGATGTTCCCAGCTAAAGGGAATATTTGTCTTTCAGAAAGAGTCTCCTCCCAGAGCCGTAAAAGAAACCTCTGACAGCTCCATAAACTAGAGCTTGTGAATTTGCTGGCGAGGGTGGAGGCCACACGCTCTGCTCCTTTCCTCGGTGCAGACTGAATAGTCGGGGCGGGCGGGTGGGGGGGGGGATGCCGGCTCTGCTCTGCTGGAAATGCAGCGCAGGCTGTCCAGAGCTGGGTCCTCATCCCCGGAGCTCAGGGGAGGCCATGCCCCATGCAAAGCTCTAATCACAGCCTGCCCCCCAACTCACTTCCTGTTGCCCTGCGTCCAATTGGCTGCTGCCTTAAAAGGCTATGGAAATGGGAGGGGCAGGACCCTCATGACCCTAGTCAGCCCTCTACCCCCTCCAACTTGTCTCCCTGGGACCACCAGCCAGCCTGTCCTGCCATCACCGTGGCCTTGAGAGTCACTATCCAGGTCCAGCAAAATTACTGCAGCATTGCTACACTGTCATGGTCAGCCGGTCAGTCGCTTCTGACACTTGGCCACCCCATGGATCATTGCTCTCCCTGCCCCCCCCCCCCCGGTCTCGCAGTGCTTCCTTCAGGACTGTCCCCGGGCCTTTCTTTACAGTGTCCAGCCAGAGGGCGCTGGGGCCGCCCCTCCGTCTTCCGCTGATCACTCCCAGCATGACCGACTGTTCAAGTGAGTCGGCTCCCATGACGAGGCCAAAGGGTGGCAGTCCCTGTTTGGCAGTCTGGGCTTCGAGGGAAATTCCGGGGAGGCTCTGCGATCCTCGCAGTCCGCGGGACGCACAACAGTCGCCTCCAGCACCAGAATTCAGAGGCGCCCACCCTTCCGCTCTCCGCCTTTTTCAGAGTCCACGTGTCGCAGCCCTGCGTAGCAAGCGCCTACATCTCCCAATAGCAAAAGCTCTCCGGGAGTTTGCAACAGATCCTGAGCAGGATTTCTCCTGCGGAACTCTCCTCTTGTGCATGAGTGCAGGCGAGCTCATGTGCATTAGCGTGACTGTGTGATGACGCAAACACACGCTAGCACAAGGGCAGGCAGCAGACACACACCCCGCCCCACCCTCCACAGTGAAAAGCACCCTGCAAAGCTGGGGTCCACATGGCCGGGTTCACAGGTCAGATTGAGGGGCGGGCATGTTGACTCCGTGGCAGAGTTCTCTCACGGAGCATCTCTATCATGCCTCAGGATCGTGATCCAGATCATGGCATCTGGTCCTCTAGATGGGAAAGAAATGGAGGCAGTGACAGATTTTATTTTCCTGGGCTCCCAGATCACCACAGACAGGGACTGCAGCCAAGAAATTAAAAGACGCTTGCTCCTGGGGAGGAAAGCTATGGCAAATCTAGACAGCATACTAAAAAGCAGAGACATCACCCTGCCAACAAAAGTACATATAGTCAAGGCTATGGTTTTCCCAGCTGCAATGTATGGCTGTGAAAGCTGGACCATAAGGAAGGCTGAGCGCCAAAGGATTGAGGCCTTTGAATTGTGGTGCTGGAGGAGACTCCTGCGAGTCCCTTGGACCGCAAGGTGATCAAACTGGTCAGTCCTAAAAGAGATCAACCCTGACTGCTCTTCAGAAGGCCAGATACTGAAGATGAAACTCAAATACTTTGGCCACCTAATGAGAAGGAAGGACTCCCTGGAGAAGACCTGATGCTGGGAACAATTGATGGCAAAAGGAGAAGAGGATGGCAGAGGATGAGGTGGCTGGATGAGGTCGCTGGGGCGGTGGGTGTGGGGTTGGGTGGACTCTGGGGGACGGTGGAGGACAGGAGAGCCTGGAGGAATGTTGTCCATGGGGTTGTGATGGGTTGGACACGACTTTGCAGCTGAACAGGAAAGGTGCAGAGGGCTTGCTATCAGGACTAGGACATAGATGGCAGTGACAACCACTGGAACACCAGGACCAGGGATGCTGGAGGAGAATAGAAGCTCCCGCCAGAGGAGCAGATGCAAAAACCCAGCCCAGATCCAAACTGAGGCCCAAGAGCAGCGAAGTGCTGCAGGGGCGAGTCCCGTTGCAGGTTGAGGTCAGGCACCAACCAGGCAGCGCAGGGCCGTTCGCAAGGCAAGGTCAGAGGAGAGAGGGAGCAGGCGCCTGGCCAGGCAGAAGACAAGGAGAGAGGCGGAGGCCACAGGATGCAAGGTGTAGTTGGCCATGCAGCAAGACTCGGAGCAGGAGCAGGATCCCACCGCAGTCGCCGCAAAGACCTGTGCTGCTGGGACAGACCCTGAGCAGGGCTGGACAGCCTGTGAGAGCCATCCAGAGAGTCCGGCGGTGCCTCGTGTGCCCCGGCTCCGATTCCCGTGATGCCCAGCAGGTCTGCTCCTGCAGACATGTGCGGGGGAAATCGGGGTGCTTCCTCCCAGGGGCAGGTGTGCCGAGGCTTCGGGTTCTGCCGCTTCCATTGCTCTGCCAAGCAAAGAATGGGGCTTCCAGTTTTTACTGTGCTGTGTCCCAACATGGCACCAAGGCAATCAGAGAACAGAAAGTTTTCATTCCCTT